GCATAGCAAGAGCCAGGGTTCTCTGTTGTGTCTCCGTCTGGGCATCTTTTGAAGTGATCCCTGGTACCTTTAGGACTACATTTGCTTTCTCTGGCCTGCTTGTCAATGGTTCTGGCCTAAGTTTTTCGCACAGTGCAACGTCTCTTTCAAGCAGATCTTGGTGCTGTCTGTACAGTTCTCTAGCAAGGTGGTTGGGGCTCTGACGCTTCAGTCTGTTTTTTATTGTTGTTGTTCTTTCTTGAAATTTAAAATGCAGTGGGTGACTTTGAAGTCTTTTTAATTTCTCATACTGTAAAAGAGTTTTGTATTGTCATCTGAGTTCGAGTGGTTCAGTAGCTGCTAATCTTTCTATCTCTCTGATATGGGTGGATTTCATGGCTCCGAGAACAAACCTTAATCCCATATTCTGAACTGTGTCCAGTTTTCCCATTGTTGTCTTGGCTGCTGCAGCCGATGCATATTCCACAACTGGCCTTACTGCTCCAGTATATACTTGTTTTAAAATTCTGGAGTTAGCGCCCCATGTGGTACCCGCTAATTTTTTCATCTCGGTATTGTTGATATCGCAACCCTTCGGCCTTGATTCCATTGTAAATACTGTAAATCTGGGAGAAATGTGGCTTTTCTGCCTACCCCCGGGAGTGAACCAGGACCACAATTAGTTCGTCACCCGGTAACCGCGCAATCCGGTTTAGCCAACTACACTAGAGAGCCGGGCAACATTAGAATAAAAAAAAAAAAAAAAAAACATTACTTAATTATAAAACTATATAGTTATTGATTAGGGTAGTGATTAGTAAGGGTTATCTTCACAGCACTCCGGAAAGATCCATAGGTGCTCCGAGCTCCTTGAACTTGACTTTCTACCCCACCAGGACATCACACAAGCGATAAACACCCGATGACACAAAGTGCCACCATGCGGATGAGGATCACCGTGGAGAGGTCCCAGAAACCGCGTTCAGACAATTGGCCATATTGATGGCCTGCCTATATTGCGGCCCCTGGCAAAAGCCAGAGTGGGGCTTCAAATAACAAAAAATTACGTCCTAAGAAGGACGTAACTAAATGAACTACAAAGATAGAAGAACACACTAGACAACATAAAAATCGAAAGCTATAGTTACCGTGCCGGGAATTGAACCTGTCACCTCCAGACGGCGTCTGCGCCTCGCCATGAATACAAGTGCACTAAGATACATGGTCAACTAGGCGTCCTCCGAGCTCCTCATTAAAATCCCAACAAGAGTAAAACGATTGATGACGCTTGTCCTGTACTGATTAATCAGAAGTCTTGTCGTCTTACTGAAATATTCATTTATGGCAGCTTGCGTCCCCCGACCCTTTTCCCGGTCCACCAGCTTTATTTACAAACTTGTTCTTTATACTATACAATTTAGAGAGAGAATTCCATATTTTCTGCAAGCTTTAAAATCTGATGTAGCGTCTAGACGCTCGCCTGCGGATCAGACGGGTCCTAATGGAGTCGTTCCTTTTTCAAAAATGACCTTGGCTCCCAGGTCGACCTAGCCCTGAATGAGGTACCAGGTATAAAAAAGGTAAAGTCGGGAGATGTGAACCAGCGTCATTGCATACGTTTATAAACCATAAGTGCCCTGCCACCAGTACGGACAGCCGATAAAAATTGTCTCCTTGTTTCCTCGTCCGCACGTAACACTGTAAGCCACAGCGACGTTCCTCCATTTACCCCAGAGTGTCAAACTCTGATACCCATTTCCTAGAGGCTGGGTGAGCCCCGGGAGCCGCCCGGTTTCGAACACCGATCGTGGGCTGCAGCGAGTGGCAGCTGGATTTGAAAGCGAACCTCTTATCGACAGCGCTAACGCGGCCCCGTATCAGGTATAGTCCTGGGAAGTAAAGGCAGCCGGCGTGATGTTGCTCACGTCACCCACTGATTAATCTATAAAATATAGGTCTAGCTCTATGTGCTCCATACGGTTGAAAGTGTTTAAAAAAAAAAATATCCTTTCGTTTTTACAAGTAGCAGATGCTTTGCCAAATGCCTTTACATTCTGCCTTCAGTATGAAGTAGGACGGAAATTGTATCAAATACCTGGCAAGGACGGCCTGTTTCCGGTAAAACGTTCACACCAGACGGCGAATGGTGGGCATTGCTTTCTTTCTTTACATTTCATTCTTTCTTTTACAGTAGATTTATGTCCAGGCAGTACCGTTAGCGATGCACCATTGAGTCTTTTCCTTGCATATTTGTTTAATCGTCAAGCGGAATGGTTTAAAAGTTAAATTAAAGGACTTCTTTTCTAAGCTTCAGTAAATTAAAAATTGTAATTGTAACTCGATTTCGGCTTTGATTTTGCACAATTTTGGAAAAAAAGGTGCTCTTCTTTTACCTTTTGTACACTTTTTTTTTTTTTTTTTGCGTTGTAAATTTGAATAGTTAAATTTATTATTATAATATAGTAATTGTACTTGAACTTTGAAACAAAATTGGGCGCTTCTTTGAATCATTCCCCAAAATGGCGGCATGCCACATTATGGCCATAAAATATCCAAATATATCCGAACGACGGTGTTCGCCTATATCTAAAATACGGACTTTCTGCCAAGTAACAAATCGCGGCAAAACTAGGATTACTTGACAATCTTTCGAACGCCATCATATTAAAGCCGCCATTTTGGGGAACAATTCAAAGGAGAGCCAAATTTTTTTGCCTTGAAATATATTTATGGTTTTACATTAGTCTGCATTTCATTGATACAAAATGGCCACACACAAAAACTGGTTAAAGTTGATGCAGAATTAATGGAGCTTCATTCAGGGATTAGTAATAGTAAGGATCACTTTGAAATGTGCAAGTTATGAGTTGGGTTGTCTTCACTGCACACCGCGGACATGTGTAAATGTGTACTTCTTTCGTGAACAAGACCATCTGACCCTACCATCAACATCAGCGGGATGTGAAAGGGATCTCCAGTGATCAACTAGAGGATATGGTCACGTACTAACATGACCATTATAACTTTTGGCTCTCCTCCGAATAATGGTCCCAAAGGATTTACGCAGAAAGTAAACCCTAACAGAGCCTCATTACGTCCTACCCTACAAAGATTTAAAAGTTGTAGCTCGGAAAATATAAGGAACGAAAAGTATGAGGAAAAGGGCAAAGTCTTACCAACAGTTAAATCCTTTATATGTGCAAATAGTGCCCGAATATCTGTTCTTTTTAGCTGTCCGCCTTTTCAACAGGCCGCGGCTAGTCCGCGATTCTCGTTCCGGGCGAGACATAATCAATAATGCGCGTTTTAATGTACGCGCATGTCACCTCGGGACAACTTCAAACCAGCAGCCGCCACTATGGCGCTCTACTATCCCGACGACCTCTTGACCGTGGCAAATGCGACCACGCTGGCAGTTGCGACGGAAGAAGTAGCTCATGACTGTTTTCCTGCGACTATAGTGCCATCTCCGAGAGTATACCCCGCGCCGCTACGCACTGCGCGGAAGGGACTAAACTAAATGCAAATACAATGGAGGAAGCTGCAGGAGAAGCGGTAGCTGCTGCTCGTGAGTCCCAGCCATCTAGTTTAGCCCTTTCCTCGCCGCGCGTAGCGGCGCGGGGTATACTCGCAGAGGTGGCATTATAGTCGGCGAAAAGTGGTCTGCAAATGACATATAACTGTGGCCCTGCCGTATGATAGCGCTAACGGGGAGTATTCTTGCGAGTCTCTAATTTTTCATCTGTAGTTAATCCTAGTTTTGACGCCGTTTAATCGTCATAAAAAAGTCTGTTGCGTTTCGCAAAAATGTCGTGGACAATTAGTCCTATTTTTGACGCGGTGGATTCGTGCAAAAGAAATGCACATTTTAGATATGAGTGAGGCTCTGTTAGGGTTTACTTTCTGCGTAGATCATTAGGGACCGTTATTCGGAGGAGAGCCTAACTTTGCTCTACGACAGACAATGTATGTGTCAGTCTATGACACTGTACAGTACTGGTCTTTTTCTCCGTTATTGTTATCGCTTGTCAGTCTTGTGTAGTGTCACATCCCCCTTACAATTGAAATGTTGTGTGTTCAACCCTTACTTTTTTTTTTTTTATTGTAAATTTTCACTTTCAGTTCTTGTCACTTTTTGAGGGGATGACTTAAGTATGGGAAAAAAAATCTGTAATAACATGGTGACTACAATAAATTATGACTAAAGTGGGTCACAGTAAAAATTCGTCAAAATTTTTGTTGACTGCCAACAGTCTGAATTGTAACCTGAGTCACAGCCCAGGGTGGAGTGCTAGAACCTTCCTAGAGAAGTGTTTCCCATTAACCACCCCCACTCCTCACAGAGGCAAGGAGTAAAACATCTGGCCTGCGGTGGAGACAATGGTGAAAAGAGGACGGAAGAATACAAATGGTCTTGCTCTATCCTCTCATAAAGAAGGTAAAGGAGCCGAAACATTTAAATAATATCGGTTAGTGCAGACATTTCCATTCAACAATAAGAGTCCAAAACACCACAGAAGAAGGGCCCAGCAAGAAAGTGTGTGGTCTGCGCAGTAACACAAAACTTGATACATGTGCAAGATCTGATGTGACACTGTGTTATACCTTGTTTTCATGCACACACAAAAATTGTTAACAATATTAAAAGCTATATGTAATTGCTTTTTGTAGTATTTTGTGTTTGCTTTGTAAGTTTCTAGTGTTTCCTCTTTTAAAGGTGAGATTTATTGGGACCGCCAAAGTGCATCTGATTTATCAGTGCACACACCAGCCACACACCTTTGTGGGGTTTTTAATTATATGTGTACTAACTTTGGCCGGCACGTCTTAAATTTTTTTTTTGGAGGGGGGGGGGGGGGGAAGTTACCCAGCCAAACAGAGACCTTTTTTTTTAACATTGCTTAGCACAGGGCAGACAGCTATGGCCAGGAATGTAGCAGTGAAAGAGTTCATGTAGCAAGAGTACGTAAGTGAAACAGAATGTCTGAATGTTTTGTTTTTCATACCCACACCAGGTTAGAATGATACGACGTCCAAGACGCCCACCAATGGGACCCATGGGTCCACCAGGACTTGGCCCACTCCACCCACGTGTCCCACCACCCCTTCATCTAGGCCCACCTCGAGGTCCACCAGGCATGGGGATGCCTCCCTTGCCAGTGATTCCACCACCCATGCCTGTCCCCATGGTCAGCAGTTGCACCAATTCCAACGACCCAACATCCAAGGACTCCCGCTTGTTTGTGGGCAACCTCAACACGCTGCTCCTCACCAAGGAGGATGTGGAAAGAATCTTTGCTCCCTATGGTTTTATTTATGGAATATCCATGCATAAAGGTTATGCATTTGTTCAGTTCAGCCATCCGGATGAAGCAAGACGTGCTGGGGCAAGCGAGGATGGGCAGATGTATGCTGGTCAGGCCGTGGGTATGTACTGTCGGTCAAGTCACATCACTTACATCATTTCTTCTTCTTCCTTTTCTTCTTTTGCTGCTTCTTCATCTCTTCGCCCTCGGAAGGATGGTGGTCAATTTGTGCTGTGGTTTACAGCTAGGCTATGATGTCTATGCCTTTTTCTAAGACATCTATTTTCAGAAGATCCTTGGACATTGATAACCTTAGCTTATTGTAGTTGTATCATCATCATCATCATCGCCTTTTTACAGGGTTTGGCAGTCATGCCACTCAATGACCTCTCCAAAATATTTTTTTAGTTTGTTTACTGACACCCTGACAAGAATCTGCTCACATTATCTTCTTCCCCTGTCTCGCTTTTCAGTGGTCACAACTTGTTCCAGTTGGCTTCTTGTCATAATGTGGCCAGACAATGATGTCTGTCTCTTTCCATTGTTTGTAATGTTCTCTTTGGGCCCATGCCCCTTTGGCCTCAACTCATAATTGTATATGTGTGTTACAAAAATAAATGGTGGCTGACATTTGATCTTGTTAGCCGACTTTCTTTATCGTGATCAATAAAACAGCTGGAGCATATTTTTCCTTCAACTGTATTTCTCTGGGAATTAAGAAAAGTTATATATCATTATCCTAGAGTTTGGAAAGGATCTTTAGATCGTTTTTAGAAATTGTAGTAGATTTTTGATCCCCCAAATGTGGGTTCAGGACCCCTTATTTTAGGGAAGACAAGAATAGACCCACTGCCCCATAAAAGGTGACTTAAAATTTGTGGACATCGGATTTGTTGGGTCGAACACGGCATATCTGTCAGAGTCTGGCTGCGTACACCATAACATGCCAATAGCCTTTAAAGTGCTAATGAAGAAGTACTCAATTGTTTTTCTGTCTTCGCTGTTCTTCTCACCACGCTAGATGTAAAGAGAAGCATGTTCTCCTTCTCAGCGTTTTCTTAACCAGGAATAGTGAAAGATTAACCCCCCGTGTCTGCTGCACTGCCTTAAAAAATGGTAAACAGAGATGGCCGTGAAAGTTTACAGTGAATGGTATTGCTGACTGTTGATGGAAGTTGTGCCAGATTTTTTTCTGTTCTCCACTGTTTTGTCAAACATCACAGTAAAATAACTGGACATGACATTTTTTTTTTCAGCTTGCATTTAACTTTGGGTCATTTGTTTATGTAAAACAAAAGCACTTGAAAGTGCAAATTGGAGATTATAAATTTGTTGAGTAATTTTTTTTTTTAAATATGTGAATCTCTTGAGTTTGCTACAGCAAGTTCGTAAAGGATCAAAATACATGTGCGGCCTACTTTTATTTTGATGTGGTGACATTTTACATCACGTCGTTGTGGTATTTTGTGCTTTTCATTGATAGAGCAGTTGTAAGTTTAACATGGGGGGGGGGGGGGGGGGGAGAATCTCCTCAGCATTCATGTATTTGTGGAGCGTTGCAGTAGAGCAGCATATGTTGGGCTTGACTGTCCTCACCTCATATACAGCTTTTTCGGATATTTCAACGGGCTTATAGATTCATTCTGCTCAGGTCAAGTTAAAATTTAAAGTCGAGTGGATCAATTTTTATTGCATCAGGCCTAATCTTATTTGTCTGGAGTCTCTCTCTGTGCTAATTGACTAGCCGCCATTGAGAGTGTCAGACAGGGGCAAACAACTTGACCACTCTGCCATGGAGAGCTCTTTCTGCTTATGGATAATTATTAGTACAATTGTTTGAACAGTAGTCAGGTGTTTTCAAGTTTCCCCCTACTCTGCCAAATTGCTAATTTAAAGCAATATAAAATGCTGGTTGAACCATGGGACCACACTTCATTTTTAATTAACAAGACATTTTTAAAAATGCCAAATTTCCTACTTTTGACATGAAACTATAAATATTTGCTACTTTTGACACGAAACTAGTCATATTTGCTACTTTTGACACGAAACTAGACATTTTTGCTACTTTTGACATGAAACTAGGCATTTTTGTTACTTTTGACATGAAACTATACATATTTGCTATTTTTGACATGAAACTATACATTTTTGCTACTTTTGACATGAAACTAGGCATTTTTGCTACTTTTGACATGAAACTATACATATTTGCTATTTTTGACATGAAACTAGACATTTTTGCTACTTTTGACATGAAACTAGCCATACTTGCTACTTTTGACAAGAAATTATCAGCTTCTTTTAACAAGAAAAATGTGCCAAGTTTTCTACTTTTGACAGAAGAATATATATTTTGAGTTGTCAATTTGTTTGTGATGTCTTTTGAATGTAAATTTATTTTAAAGGCATTTAACATTATATTCTTAATACACACCATGCTGTGCGATTTTGTTGCCTTTCCACCTAAATATTTGTTTGTTTCAGTTCTTCTTGACTATTTTAAATGAGCTCAATTTTCTATGCTGTATTTTTAATAATAATAATTTTTTTTTACTTCAGCAGTTAGCGGCACATGGATGATGAAGTTTGGACGTCACTGTCCGAACTATGCATTTTTTCTTCCGTGATTTCAAACTTAGTTTTTCTTTTGGGGTTAGATCAATTTTTATTGGATAAACTTTTTTTCCCCCACTTTAGATATCAATATAGTGTCTCAGCCAAAAAACAGAAAGGCGCTGAAGCGCTCGGCAGTCACCACAGCGGTAAAAGAAGCGTAAGTAGATATAGCTTTTTTCATTGAGGTATGTCCGGTTAAATACATTTTTTTTTAAACATTCACTTTTATCTCATAGCCTCATTAAGATTTTAATATTGTAAGTGCTTCGAATCTTGTCAGTTATTTCCCAGCTAACATATTTGTTTGTCCATTTAAAGAAATTACTTTTGGACAAACATATGATTTTTTTTTTAAATTAAAATGTTTGCACATTATAATTTCAAGGTTGCTCTGATTTTTCAGGGGCTGGTTTGAAAGAATAATTTTGCTGTTTGCATTATAATTAATATTTCTTTTGCAAACTTATGAATTTGACTGACTTTTATATAACTTTGGACAAGATGGTAAGTTGCCAGTTGTACTGCAGTTTCATTTGTAAATTTGCTTTGGCTTTTCTGGTCCACTATGACATCTAAGTGCCATAAATTAAATTTTTGTGTGTGGGTAATGAGTCTTAAATGAAGCACATAGCAGGAAGTTGTAAATCTGGCATATATATTTAACGGAGACTGCATGCACACAACTTTTTTTCATGGTGACATTAAAACCTGTGTTACTTTCTGTTTCTTGACATTTCATCCGGTTGTCCTCAAAAGACTATATCTAGTAACATTCTGTGTGATATATTCCTAGTAAATGCCAACGTGGCAGCATTCTTTCAGTGACCTGCGCAGAAAAGCGTAGTTAAATGCTTTTGGTCCTGTTTGCACCTGCTTAGTATTTAACAGGCCTAGATATGAATATGTTAACCAACAATAGCACTCCCTATTAACCAGATGACCTTTTTAAAACCCATTTTGATGTAAGATTTCCTCGAAGCCTCAGCGATAAAGGTCACTGGGTCATGGCATTTGTCACAGCTGCATTTTGTTAAGGCACCAGGAAAAAAGATTATATTTCATGCTTCACTTTATGGTTAATGATTACTCTCTTGATAAATCTTTATATTTTGTTCACAAAATAAATTTTTAAAGAATTTATTACAGACCTGTATAAAATGGTTCATTTTTAAAAGATTTTTTGGCGAAGTCCCACATGTTCATTTTGTTTAGCGGTACTGGTTCGAAAGGATTATCTCTAGTATTAGAGGATGGTTGTCCTTATAGTTGACCCTTGTTTGATTCATACATTTTTGTAGGGATGTAATATGTTTAAGAATTTCTGGTGTCGCAGAGATTTGTTAAAAATGGGTCATAGATTCAGTGTTTTTTGCTCAACTATGTCACCTGAAGAAAGCCGGTTGTCTGACTGTTACAGATTTTTGCTGATGGGACATCTTTAGGCACTGACCAGTAAGCCTATATAACAGCTTTGGTGCTGGTTGCAACTTTGTATTATATAGAGACGGTGGATAGGATTATGTATACAAACAATATTTATGAGATATTATTCGGGGTGAATACAATTCATTAAAGAAAATATTCTGACATCAAAATAGACTTAGGACTTTGCTCTCTGTGATTCTCAACAAAACCTTTTTTTCTTTTGTCAGAGGGAGTGAACCAGCTATATCATTGCTCCGTTTGTATTTAAAGATCACTTCACAACATGTATGAAAAAAACCTTTGTGCAAAATAATGACTGAATATATATATATATATATATATATATATATATATATATATATATATATATATATATATATATATATATATATATATATATATATATATATATATATATATATATTTTTTTTTTTTTTTTTTTAAAACACTGTTTTGGTTGGTGACTGTGTGGGTTGACAATAGCTAGTAGGTTTGCATGTCTACATGGTGGTCAGAATTTCAACCCCCTGGATGTTTATAAAAACTGACCAAGATTCCAGATTTCTCCTTGTCTTTCTCTAGTTTCTTAGGCTAGTTTCTGAGACTAGTGACAATGCATTTCTATGTAAATAAAATTTTTTTTAAAGATAATATTTGAAGATTTATACGAGAGTAGTTTTAAGAAACAAACGGTGCACAGAGTAAATAAATACTGAGGATAGGATGTATTCGGAGATTGGGGAAATCTGAAAACTGTTCTGGCCAGTTAATGACTTTCATCTTTCTCCAGGAGGACTGGCTGGTTTGTTTTTTCTATCACGTCCTGATATTTCCTGCATTCTTTTCAAAAACCACATCTCCACTGAGTAAATGTTTTTACATTTTTAGCATGACTTTCATGCATAGAACAATATAGGTTCTGTATGGCAAGTCTTTCTATCACGCTGTAGTTGACATCTTATTGATATCTTTTGTGTTTTGCTAATTTACTACGTGAGAAAACCTGGCCACTAAATGAATACGGCCATGTGTGGTTGTGGTATGTACACACATTTAGATTCTTTTTGTGGGATTTCTTCTCTGAGTGTGATCTGTGGGGGGGGGGGGGGGGGGGGAGAACTAGCATTGTGTTTGTCTTGTTCTTTCCTTGTTATCTGTTCAATGAGTGGTTGGTAAGCATGTGCCTGTTGTCTCCTACAGTCCGGTGAAGAAGACTCGCAGTGGTGAGACTCCCGTGACAAACCAGTCGCTGCAGAGAACATTGGTGACACTCATCGAGAGCACTGAGAAGGTGGGTGGATGCAGATATACTTGCCAGTTTGTACTCTAGACCAGTTGTCCTGAGAAAGGTACCAGGGGACTGCCAAGAGATGATGTGTAATCGTGTAACGAGGTTGAGTAGATGGTTGTTCTCTTCCTGTCTGTAGAATAAACACCCCAGGACTTTTTATTCTCGTAATCACATTTCGTCAAACTTGTAAATACATTAAAAAAAACCCAGACACTTTGAATGCTTGTAATTGCAGTGCTTAGTGTAACAGAAACATTGCTCCAGCGACACTTATCAGATTGTTTAATCTCTGAGCAGCAGCAGGTGTCACGTTAGCTGAGCATGGGTAATTTTATCAGATCAGATTTAACAAACTGCTATCCGCATTTGGTTTTATGTTTGATTAGCTGGCAGGTGCACTATAAAACAGCTTCTCCTTTGCTCACCGGCTGTAAGCAGAAAGTCCCGGTTGTTGGGACTTGTTTTACTGGCTTATTTGTGTGCAGTTGGTTGTTTCCTTGTCGCTCGGACAGAATGACTTCGAAGGAAGTCCCCATTCAGTCAACTTCTACGACATGCTTGTTGGGAAGGCAGTGGGTCTGTTCTTGTTTTCCCCCACATTGAGGCCCCAGAACCCACACTGCGAGGCAGATGGGCCATACAACAATCTATGTGGGTTCTGGGGTCCCATTTAATGTTGAGTGGGTAGATCTACTGTCCCATAACAGGCCTGTCATAAAAAGTGACTAATTACGGGTTTGTTGGAGTCAGATAGGTTGGGCCAAAAGGTGCCACAGACCACCCTTTTAATGGAGAATATAGAATAAGACAAAGTAATTGCAATTATTGCCACCACAAACAGCAACTTTCTTGCAATTATTGCCATTACAAACAGCAACTTTCTTGCAATTATTTTCATGCAATCAGCGCAATTTTATTGCGGTTATTGCTACACAGAGCAATTTTCTTGCAGTTATTGCCACAAAAATAGCAACTTTCTAACAGTGATTGCCACTACAAACTTAGCAACTTTCTTGCAGTTTATGGTCCTAAAAACATCAACCTTCTCGCAATTATAAATGGAGCATATTTAAGAACGGAGCAATGTATTTGCTACCCAGCACAAAATACTCAATATTTTTTAAACCGTGTAGCAAAATCGGCATATGAAAATAAACTCATATTTTACCCACAGGTGTCAGAAAAATCTGCCACAGGAGCACAGCCTTCAGCTGGAGATGCTAAAAAATCTGGTGCCAAATCTAATGTACCAGTGTCAAAGCCTGCAGCGGTCAAAACTAATTGTAAGTGTTTCATTTTCTGTTTGCTATTTTGTTGTCTACTGTGCTTTCTTGTTTGGTTTAGTGTATCCGTGACTGTGTTTGTCTAGAAGACCTGCCTTTGGGCTGTCAGAACTGTTTGTCTAGAAGACCCACCTTTAGGCTATCAGAACTGTGTGTCTAGAAGACCCACCTATGGGCTATCAGAACTGTGTGTCTAGAAGACCCACCTATGGGCTATCAGAACTGTGTGTCTAGAAGACCCACCTATGGGCTATCAGAACTGTGTGTCTAGAAGACCCACCTATGGGCTATCAGAACTGTGTGTCTAGAAGACCCACCTATGGGCTATCAGAACTGTGTGTCTAGAAGACCCACCTTTAGGCTATCAGAACTGTGTGTCTTAGAAGACCTTCCTAATCTGTTATCTAGAACGCCTAATGTGGGTCTATCAGTTCTGTTTATCTGTTTATCTAGAACACCTACTGTGGGTCTATCAGTTCTGTTTATCTAGAAAACCTACTGTGGGTATATCAGTTTTGTTTATCTAGAAAACCTACTGTGGGTATATCAGTTCTATTTATCTAGAACACCTACTGTGAGTCTCTCAGATATGTTTATCTAGAACACATACAGTGGGTCTATCAGTTCTGTTTATCTAGAACACCTACTGTGGGTCTATCAGTTCTGTTTATCTAGAACACCTACTGTGGGTCTATCAGTTCTGTTTATCCAGAACACCTACAGTGGGTCTATCAGTTCTGTTTATCCAGAACACCTACAGTGGGTCTATCAGTTCTGTTTGTCTAGAACACCCACTGTGGGTCTATCAGTTCTGTTTGTCTAGAACACCTACTGTGGGTCTATCAGTTCTGTTTATCTAGAACACCTACTGTGGGTCTATCAGTTCTGTTTATCTAGAACACCTACTGTGGGTCTATCAGTTCTGTTTATTTAGAACACCTACTGTGGGTCTATCAGTTTTGTTTATCTAGAACACCCACAGTGGGTCTATCAGTTCTGTTTATCTAGAACACCCACAGTGGGTCTATCAGTTCTGTTTATCTAGAACACCCACTGTGGGTCTATCAGTTCTGTTTGTCTAGAACACCTACTGTGTGTCTATCAGTTCTGTTTATCTTGAACACCCACAGTGGGTCTATCAGTTCTGTTTGTCTAGAACACCCACTGTAGGTCTATCGGTTCTGTTTATCTAGAACACCTACTGTTGGTCTATCAGTTCTGTTTATCTTGAACACCCACAGTGGGTCTATCAGTTCTGTTTGTCTAGAACACCCACTGTGGGTCTATCAGTTCTGTTTGTCTAGAACACCCACTGTGGGTCTATCAGTTCTGTTTGTCTAGAACACCTACTGTGGGTCTATCAGTTCTGTTTATTTAGAACACCTACTGTGGGTCTATCAGTTTTGTTTATCTAGAACACCCACAGTGGGTATATCAGTTCTGTTTATCTAGAACACCCACAGTGGGTCTATCAGTTCTGTTTATCTAGAACACCCACAGTGGGTCTATCAGTTCTGTTTATCTAGAACACCCACTGTGGGTCTATCAGTTCTGTTTGTCTAGAACACCTACTGTGTGTCTATCAGTTCTGTTTGTCTAGAACACCCACAGTGGGTCTATCAGTTCTGTTTGTCTAGAACACCCACTGTGGGTCTATCAGTTCTGTTTATCTAGAACACCTACTGTGGGTCTATCAGTTCTGTTTATCTTGAACACCCACAGTGGGTCTATCAGTTCTGTTTGTCTAGAACACCCACTGTGGGTCTATCAGTTCTGTTTGTCTAGAACACCTACTGTGGGTCTATCAGTTCTGTTTATCTAGAACACCTACTGTGGGTCTATCAGTTCTGTTTATTTAGAACACCTACTGTGGGTCTATCAGTTTTGTTTATCTAGAACACCCACAGTGGGTCTATCAGTTCTGTTTATCTAGAACACCCACTGTGGGTCTATCAGTTCTGTTTATCTAGAACACCTACAGTGGGTATTTGTTTAAATACAAGAACAGATATGAGGGAACAAGATAACAGTTGCTGCTGTTGGAAGTGTTATTAGGGGTTCACTGGAAACTGCCCCATGTTTAAAATTGTTTTTATGTTTGAAAGTTTGCTGAAGAACTTATCAATATTTGAGCGTTATTTTTTCAAGAGCACAGTGGAACCTCGCTTAACGAGCATAATTCGTTCCAGAATCATACTCGTTAAGCGAAGCACTCATTATGCCAAACCATTTTTCTCATATAAATTCATGTAAAATATGATAATGCGTTCCACGTCGAAAAAAATAGTCACAAAATGCAATGTATAACGTTTGTTCAATGAAAATATCTATACATATTGTTAAGGAGAGTGAATCATCTTTATCATTTTCTTTCACCGCGGAACGAACCCACCTGGAATGCGAATTCGATTTGCAGAAAAGAAAACACAAAAAGTCGAAATAATTATGATTCATAGCTCATTATTTTTGTAGACGCTTCAAAATTTGGCGAAAATGCGACACAGCGTTATCAGGAAATAAATTTGCAGCGTGCTTAGCCACTTCCTTATTAGGGTGATGCTTCTCAATGTAAGATGCAACAGTCTCCCATGCTTTCAGCATTTCTCTTATTTTGCCAGAAGATTGTTGCTTTTCTGTTACCTCCTCCTCCTCCTGCTCTGACAAACTTACCTCCAAAACTTCTTGCTGTGAAAAACAATACAACTCCATAAGCTCTTCGTTGGTCAGCACTTGGCTGTGCTCTTCCACAAGCTCTTCGATATCTCTGTTATCCACCTACAATCCCGTGATAGTGGCCAAAGACACAATCTCGTTGACTACAGGTTCCACAGGTACTGTCTCGAACCCCTCAAAGTCACAAATCTACAACACTCTCCGGCCAAAGCTTCTTCCATGCAGACGTTAGGGTTCTCTTAGTAACCCCTTCCCCCACCTTGTCGATAATCTTGAGGCAGACAACGATGTGGAAGTGATTTTTCCAAAACTCTTTGAGAGTGAGGTTGGTCCCTTCAGTCACATGAAAACAGTGCTCGAAGAGTGCTTTAGTGTAGAGCTTGTTAAAGTTAAAAATAACTTGCTGGTCCATGGGCTGGAGTAACGGAGTGGTGTTGGGAGGCAGAAACTGGATCTTGATGAACTTAAACTCTTCAGAGAGGTCATCTTGTAGGCCTGGAAGATTCATGTACATATATCACAATATAACACAAGTTTGAGAAAATGTATGATCACAAGCGACACTACGATGCAACTGGAACGAGTGCTAAACGCAGACTGATGTAACATGCACACAATTAGGGGTTTCCCCTCTCCTCGCCGCTCGTTAAGCAAGTCATTCTTTTACAATTTGTTTTGCTCGTTATGCGAATTACTCGTTATGAGAGGTGCTCGTTAAACGAGGTTCTACTGTACTTGATATTACAGAATTCTTAAATGAGTAGCATAGACACCAGATGGGAAGGACTGTTCTGGGCCATGATCTTGGGATCTAAGAATGATTGCCTTGCTGACTAACATCATGCCTTTCCACAACCTGTTTGTTATTCATGCACTGATACCCTTTCATGCCATGACAGGAGGCTGTCAAGAAGGTTCCTACATTGTGTCCCTCTCTCTGCCCCCATCCCCCCCTCCCTTTTTTTTAAAACAAATTTCTCCAGTGATCACAAAGTGTTCCGGTTTCTTTCTTTCTGTCACACATCAGGTCTGTTAAATACTGACGGTAATTTCAAGCTCTTACACCAGAACACAAAACTAAGCAGCAGGTTTAGATCATTTATATCATACATACAAATAGTTGTATATTCAAACACATGCATGCACTCACACATACACATGCACACAAACATACTCACACATGTACACACACATACACATGCTCACAAACATACTCATACATGCACACAAACATACTCATACATGCACACAAACATACTCATACATGCACACAAACATATTCATACATGCACACAAACATACTCATACATGCATGCACTCACACATACACATGCACACAAACATACTCATACATGCACGCACACATACACATGCACACAAACATACTCATACATGCACACAAACATACTCATACATGCACACAAACATACTCATACATGCACACAAACATACTCATACATGCATGCACTCACACATTCACATGCACACAAACATACTCATACATGCACACAAACATACTCATACATGCATGCACTCACACATACACATGCACACAAACATACTCATACATGCACACAAACATACTCATACATGCATACAAACATACTCATGCATGCACTCACACATACGCATGCACACAAACATACTCATACATGCACACAAACATACTCTTACATGCATGCACTCACACATGCACACAAACATACTCATACGTGCACACAAACATACTCATACATGCATGCACTCATACATGCACACAAACATACCCATACATGCACACAAACATACTCATACATGCACACAAACATACTCATACATGCATACTTCAAGATAAGCTACATCTCTACAATGGTGTGCACTCAACTTTTAGATCAAGACTAATTTTCAGAAGTGGGCAAACAACCAGAACTTTCACCTGGAGTTTGCAGCCAGTCAACAGTAAGAATAAATCTGTGCAAGGTCAAGTAGTTGTATAGTTTTATACATGGTTCATTGGTGGCAGGCTGGGCTTTAAACTGGGGCAGCAACAGTTGAGCATTGTGAATGTCATATTTTTGTGTCTCTGGTCTACAGTTGATGTGCTCAGAATGTAAACACACCCTCTGTTGCAGGTTGACCCATCCTAAAATGGGACAGGAAATGCCTTGCAAAAGTTAGGGCTGCTGGCGGTGTACGAACCATGTCCTGATTGGTCTAAAAAATCTGGGTCGGCACCATACTCTCACCCATGTTTCCTCTGTGACATGTCCGCGTTTTGTATGGGGCACATCTATGTTTTCCTTTACGCCATGTCCGTGTTTCCCTCTGTGACATGTCTGTGTTTCCTCTGTGACAGGGCCTGATGTGCTGATCTGTGGCGTTTGTAAGATGCAGTTTACCAGCCTGCACAGTCTTGCTCAACACAAGAAGGTTCCTTGCCAGCTGCACGTCAGCACTCAGGCCAAAGATGAATCCAGTGAGGGTATGTCAGTTTTAATTCTAATTCACCAAACTGGCCCGCTAGTTAAAATAGTGTTCATGTTATGTGTGTGCGTGTGCATTTTTTTTTTTTCGATATGATGAGTCATCTACCTCTGTGTGTGAACATGTGGAGGGAGGGGGAAAGACTCAGACCCTGAAAAGCATCAAACCCGGCACTGCGGAATTACAAAGCACTTTCGCTACAGCTAAGCGACAGATGCCGAATTTGGGATATGCAAGGCGGGAAAAAATAAGTGGTTTTTCCGAAAGCTGGAATTTTAAAGAAGTTTGTTTGGTCAAAACCATAAACTTTTTTAACCTAAAAAAAATCTGGAATGAGGGGGATGTTGAGCAAAAGTTCTGCTACATAGTTATTATTATTTTATATCTCTAGGCTGTTCTACCTTTTCAGTGTCAGGTTTTGAAGAGTCATCTGTTGATGCTAGCCTTGGTATGTGCTACATAGATGCTACTATTTATGGCCTGTCATCTTCCATCTATCCATCACTTGCATGGACAACCTCTAGCTCTGCTTCTGTTGTGGGATACAAACATGTAATAAATGGCCCTGTTGAATGGTATGGCATCTGTGTCCACACAAACACTTAATGAACGGCCCTCTTGTATGGTAAGGCATCCATGTCCACACAAACATGTAATGAATGGCCCTGTTGTATGGTATGGCATCCGTGTCCACACAAACATGTAATAAATGGCCCTGTTGTATGGTATGGCATCCATGTCCACACAAACATGTAATGAATGGCCCTGTTGTATGGTAAGGCATCCATGTCCACACAAACATGTAATGAATGGCCCTGTTGTATGGTATGGCATCCGTGTCCACACAAACATGTAATAAATGGCCCTGTTGTATGGTATGGCATCCGTGTCCACACAAACATGTAATGAATGGCCCTGTTGTATGGTATAGCATCTGTGTCCACACAAACATGTAATGAATGGCCCTGTTGTATGGTATGGCATCCGTGTCCACACAAACATGTAATGAATGGCCCTGTTGTATGGTATGACATCTGTGTCCACACAAACATGTAATGAATGGCCCTGTTGTATGGTATGGCATCTGTGTCCACACAAACATGTAATGAATAGCCCTGTTGTATGGTATGGCATCTGTGTCCACACAAACACATAATGAATGGCCCTGTTGTATGGTATGGCATCTGTGTCCACACAAACATGTAATGAATGGCCCTGTTGTATGATATGACATCCGTGTCCACACAAACATGTAATGAATGGCCCTGTTGTATGGTATGGCATCTGTGTCCACACAAAAATGTAATGAATGGCCCAGTTGTATGGTATGACATCTGTGTCCACACAAACATGTAATGAATGACCCTGTTGTATGGTATGGCATCTTTGTCCACACAAACATGTAATGAATGGCCCTGTTGTATGGTATGACATCTGTGTCCACACAAACATGTAATGAATGGCCCTGTTGTATGGTATGGCATCTGTGTCCACACAAAAATGTAATGAATGGCCCTGTTGTATGGTATGGCATCCATGTCCACACAAACATGTAATGAATGGCCCTGTTGTATGGTATGGCATCCATGTCCACACAAACATGTAATGAATGGCCCTGTTGTATGGTATGACATCTGTGTCCACACAAACATGTAATGAATGGCCCTGTTGTATGGTATGGCATCTGTGTCCACACAAACATGTAATGAATGGCCCTGTTGTATGGTATGGCATCTGTGTCCACACAAACATGTAATGAATGGCCCTGTTGTATGGTATGGCATATGTGTCCACACAAACACATAATGAACGACCCTGTTGTCTGGTATGACATCCGTGTCCACACAAACATGTAATGAATGGCCCTGTTGTATGGTATGGCATCTGTGTCCACACAAACACATAATGAACAACCCTGTTGTATGGTATGGCATCGGGGTCCACACAAACATGTAATCAATGGCCCTGTTGTATGGTATGACATCTGTGTCCACACAAACATGTAATGAATGGCCCTGTTGTATGGTATGGCATCTGTGTCCACACAAACATGTAATGAATGGCCCTGTTGTATGGTATGACATCTGTGTCCACACAAAAATGTAATGAATGGCCCTGTTGTATGGTATGGCATCCATGTCCACACAAACACATAATGAACGACCCTGTTGTATGGTATGGCATCTGTGTCCACACAAACATGTAATGAACGACCCTGTTGTATGGTATGGCATCTGTGTCCACACAAAAATGTAATGAATGGCCCTGTTGTATTGTATGGCATCTGTGTCCACACAAAAATGTAATGAATGGCCCTGTTGTATTGTATGGCATCCGTGTCCACACAAACATGTAATGAATGGCCCTGTTGTATGGTAAGGCATCCATGTCCACACAAACATGTAATGAATGGCCCTGTTGTATGGTATGGCATCCATGTCCACACAAACATGTAATGAATGGCCCTGTTGTATGGTATGGCATCTGTGTCCACACAAACATGTAATGAATGACCCTGTTGTATGGTATGACATCTGTGTCCACACAAACATGTAATGAATGGCCCTGTTGTATGGTATGACATCTGTGTCCACACAAACATGTAATGAATGGCCCTGTTGTATGGTATGACATCTGTGTCCACACAAACATGTAATGAATGGCCCTGTTGTATGGTATGACATCTGTGTCCACACAAACATGTAATGAATGGCCCTGTTGTATGGTATGGCATCTGTGTCCACACAAACATGTAATGAATGGCCCTGTTGTATGGTATGGCATCCGTGTCCTCACAAACACGTAATGAAATCTGAACATCTCCCCAGGGGACAGCGGAGAGCCGACCAGCCTCCAGTGTGCTATCTGTGAGGCTGAATTCAACAGTGCATGGGCTCTGTGTGTGCACTGCACCCAGGAACATGACATGGCCATCTACAAAGTGGAGGTGAGTGCCGCGACCAGGGACACGTCTTTCATTGCTGTGTTCTTTAGTTTGTCTGCCGGTCTGTGATTATTGATAGAAAACACCTGTGTTCTGTTCTTTTTCTCTATCCTTCTGTCAGTGCTTCTTTCAGTCCCTGACACCTTCACCTCCCCCCCCCCCCCCATCTCTCTCTCTCTCTCTCTTTCTCTCTCATTTTTTCAATCCCTATCCGCCCCCCTATTCTTCTCTTTCTGACTCCATTTCTCTGTTATTTCTCTGAGTGCTTATGTCTCTGTGTCTCATTCCCTTTTTCTCCCCTCCCTCTCTGACTCACTTTGTGTCTCTTCTCCTCTGTCACCCTGTCTCTGTATTTGTGTGTCCGCCTCTATCTCAGTATGCTTGTCTTTATTTCTTTCTGTGTCATTGTGCATTTCTCCGTCTCAGTGTATATGAATGTTTGGCTGTGTTTCTCTGTCTCTATCTCCTTATGCTGTTTCTGTCTCTGTGATTCACTCACTCGCACACACTTTTCTTCTTCTTCTTCTACTACTACCCTCTCCCCTTTTCCACTATATATACCTCTGTGTGTGTGTTGACTCTGTTTCCATGTGCTTGAGTATGCATGTTTGCGTTTCTTTCTTCCACAGGACAGCCCTGATTCCAATCTGACTGGCCAGTTGGACGGAGTAAGTTGCTGAATGAATCTATATTTACTCAAACATTTCAGCATTTTCTTGTGTTCACAAAGATAAAATATTTCATATTTCCTTTAGCAAAATCTCTCTTAAAAACGTAACTTCTGTGCCATGCTTGTTGGGGAGGATGTGGGTCTGTTCTTGTTTTCCCCCACAATGGGGCCCCAGAACCCACACGGGGGAAATTGCATTTTTAAACGAAACGATACAGCCATGAAACGAACCTAAGACGTTTAAAGTGTGAGGCAAACAGCCAGACCACTTCACCAGGAAGCCCCCTGAAAATCGGTGGAGAAGCTATGGATTAAACCTGGAGCCTTTCACATGCAAAGCGGGCACTCCAACACTTCCATGCTTCTCTTGCTTGGTTGGAGTCGTATCATACCATAGATGGTCTGTGGTTTTGTTTCCTGTATGAGCCAACACAATCACAAACGTGCAGCCTTGAAAGAAAACTAAACAAATTGCTGTGAATCAAGAGAAGAAGTCCCAATGTGGGGGAAAACAAGAACCCACTGCCTGCCCAACAAGCATGGCCTAGGAGTTGACTCGCTGGAGACTTGCTTCAAAGTCCGAGTGCATCTGCTCCAGCGGCAAGGAACAACCAGTTGCGTACAAATAAGCCAGTAAAACAGATGTACACACAAAACTCATGTCTTGGAACAAAACCAACAGTCCACATTGACCTACAACCAGCTGCACACAAATAAGCCAGTAAAACAGATGTGCACACAAAACCAACAGTCCACATTGACCTACAACCAGGACCTTTCGCTGGAACTTGCAGCTGGTGAACAAAGAACAAGAAGAAGAATACAATTTGTAGGATTGCTGGGGGTTACTGCCAGAGCTATGGAGTTTGTGCTTTGTGTGATGTTCTTAGCAGGCAGCTAGCCAGCCGTTCTGTGAAGTAAGACTGAGCTATATGGGATCAAATTCGGTGCAACGAAGTCGACCTTCGCAGCCCTAACTTCAAGAAAACAAATAAAAGATGTTTATGCTGTTTAATTTGTCTTTGTTTAGATTCTTTTAAACTGTATTTGCTTAAATGGTTCATTTTTGTTTCAGGTAAAACAAGAAATGCTTAATTCTGGAAATAGCGTCCAGTAATTCTCCAGTGTTTGAAGAGTTGTTATAGACACATTTGTTGACCTGGTGTGCCAGGTGTTTTTTTATTTTAATGGGCCAAACTACATTTTAATTCTAGCTTTTCAAAATGTTCTTCAAAAAATATTTTTCCAAGAGATTGTGAATGTGCATTTGTTTGTTTTATCTGTTTCTCATCTGGTTGGGGTTGTGTGTGACATGTTTGCCAGTGTATTGCTGATGGGTCAGTGCGATGATCCATTACATTGTGACTAGAATGGTGTGATAAAGCCTTACGGTGTGTGTCTGGGGGACTTTGGGGTTATGCATAAATTTGTCTCAAATGGTTTGTCTTCGACACAGTATGAAATTAGAAGATAACAGCAAGGGAATGAATGTCTTTATTCATACGGGGCAGCGGAAGTGTCAGTGGCCTGTGTTCCGAGGTGGGTGGGTGTGGAAAATATAAGGAATGTTAACTGTTGGTGCGGATCAGGTATGGTTGATTTGGTTGGTTGGTTGTTCATTTCTCTTTGTAATATAGAAGAGATTGCTAAATGTTAATTTGTGTATAGAGTGGTGGTTACAACATTGTTTTCGCAGGTGGGGGGGGGGGGGGGGAGACAATTCTAAAGGAAGCACCATATGCCTACATTGAACTTTTTCTTTAGAACCAAAAAGCAAATGTAAGGAAAACCTAATTAACAATATCAGGGGTACCCAGTTAGCTAAGGCTGATACATAGCCCCTGTTGTTTTCAAAGTTGTGTCACAAACCCCAAAACTTTTAATAGTCAGACTGAAGAACTTATTTAAAAAATCATCGCAATATAAAATATTTTAAAGTTAAAAGTTATTGATTTTTCTATGGGCCACCAAATGAGAAAGACGATATGTAAGACAGTTTTGGGCACAGACAAAAGCTCACACATACTTGAAAATTTCTTCAAATATGAAATAACTCATTGATTTTTAAAATACTACAGATGTAAACAATGCATTGCATTTCTTTGAAGTCCACTTGCGAACCAGTAACTCCTGTGCTGCCATCTACATGTTGTTATTTGTATGCATCTTTGTTTTGCCTGGTTATTGAACTGTGCCGGTTTATTTCTGTTTTTTTAATTGTACATTTCTGCAACATGAACATTATTACTTGTTTGACATGTTGTTGTCATGGCTACGTCGCTGGGAATATGACTGGTACATTGTCGTCAGCCGCTTTGGTCTTTAATGAATGAATTTGTGTTTAAATCAATATCTTGACAAGTACAAATGGCTCCTTCCTGAGACGTTGTATGAGGTTTTCTGTGTTGTATGGGAGCGAGTGATCAGGGAGTTTGAAAATTGGGAACAAATAGGAGGATGGACTGTTGCTGCGAATTATCCCGTATAGCTCAACCTTTCTTCACAGAATGGCTGCTGCCTGGTAGTCATGTCACACAAAGCACAGACTTCACAGCTCTAGAGACAAATCCCAGAGTTTTTCATAAAAACAACAAGCTTCAGAACGTGAGGCACATAGCTTGACCATTTGGTCAGGGAGATCCTTGATGGAAGAGGTGCATAGCTTGACCATTTGGTCAGGGAGATCCTTGATGAGAGAGGTGTGTGGCTTGACCATTTGGTCAGAGAGATCCTTGATGGGAGAGGTGCATAGCTTGACCATTTAGTCAGGGGGATCCTTGATGGGAGAGGTGCATAGCTTGACCATTTGGTCAGGGGGATCCTTGATGGGAAAGGTGCGTAGCTTGACCATTTGGTCGGAGAGGAATATAGCTTGTATTTAAACTGATCACTTGCTGCTGAAGATGGGGACACAGCACATATCGGAAGTTTTTTTTTGGGGGGGGGGGGGGGGGGGGTAAAATACTCATTCTCCCTTTAAGAAGCATATCGTAAGAGGAGATGAATTAGAGATATTTCCTACGAAGTTAAGGGTATCAGAGGTGAGAAACCAGCAGTCTGTGTACAGATAGGTCAAATCTGTAAAATGGATGTACACGCAAAACATTTTTTTTAAACATCAAAATCCAGAAATGGATGAACAACCAGAGCTCAACACAGTGGGGAGGAGGAGTTCTTAGCTCAACACAGTGGGGAAACAAACTGAACACTGAGGAGGAGGAGTTCTTAGCTCAACACAGTGGGGAGGAGGAGTTCTTAGCTCAACACAGTGGGGAGGAGGAGTTCTTAGCTCAACACAGTGGGGAGGAGGAGTTCTTAGCTCAACACAGTGGGGAAACAAACTGAACACTGAGGAAGAGGAGTTCTTAGCTCAACACAATGGGGGGGGGGGGAGAGTTCTTAGCTCAACACAGTGGGGGGGGGGGAGTTCTTAGCTCAACACAGTAGGGGGGAGGAGTTTTTAGCTCAACACAGTAGGGGGGAGGAGTTCTTAGCTCAACACAGTGGGGGGGGGGGAGGAGTTCTTAGCTCAACACAGTAGAGAAACAAACTGAACACTAAGGAGGAGTTCTTAGCTCAACACAGTGGGGGGGGGGGGGGGGGGGGGAGAGAGTTCTTAGCTCAACACAGTGGGGAAACAAACTGAACACTGAGGAGGAGTTCTTAGCTCAACACAGTGGGGGGGGGAGGAGTTCTTAGCTCAACACAGTGGGGAAACAAACTGAACACTGAGGAGGAGTTCTTAGCTCAACACAGTGGGGGGGGGGAGGAGTTTCTTAGCTCAACACAGTGGGGGGGGGGGGGAGGAGTTCTCAGCTCAACACAGTGGGGGGGGGGGGGGAGGAGTTCTTAGCTCAACACAGTAGGGGGAAAACAAACTGAACACTGAGGAGGAGTTCTTAGCTCAACACAGTAGGGGGGAGGAGTTCTTAGCTCAACACAGTAGGGGGAAAACAAACTGAACACTGAGGAGGAGTTCTTAGCTCAACACAATGGGGGGGAGGAGTTCTTAGCTCAACACAGTAGGGGGGAGGAGTTCTTAGCTCAACACAGTAGGGGGAAAACAAACTGAACACTGAGGAGGAGTTCTTAGCTCAACACAATGGGGGGGGGGGGAGTTCTTAGCTCAACACAGTGGGGGGGGGGGGGGGGGTTCTTAGCTCAACACACTGGGAGGGAGGAGTTCTTAGCTCAACACAGTGGGGGGAGGAGTTCTTAGCTCAACACAGTGGGGGGGGAGGAGTTCTTAGCTCAACACAGTGGGGGGGAGGAGTTCTTAGCTCAACACAGTGGGGGGGGGGGGGGAGTTCTTAGCTCAAACACAGTGGGGGGG